TAATAATTGTCTCAGTAAATGCCCAAACCCTACAGAACTGGTGCCTTCAGAGAGCCACTATGATTACATATTTGGCGTCCCTGAACCGGTTTTCCCTACAACAGAGAAGAATTGTATCAGAGATAAAGGAGGATCTGGCAGAAGCTACAGCAGTTCTGTAGACTTGTAGGTGTTCGTTATAAGCCAGAGTGTGAACCACTAGAATATTTTTTTTTGCTCAAGCATTCCAGGCACCGTCCAGCTAGTTTCAGGTTCTGGAGTTCAGGTATGCACCATACAGAGGAGTGCGTGAAGGAAATCGAGTGATTTTTAAGGACTTTGAGATTATCCAAAGTACTGGTAAACACAGTGCTTAGATTACAGACTAGGTCAGCTGTTGTAGATAACCAGTTTTGTAAAAGGGGAGAACGAAGTATTGGCATTAGAGAAATCAGAGTGGTTCAGAGATTTTGGATTTCTAGAAAACATTGTTTACATCTCACTGAAGAAATAGGGACGCCAACATCAAATAATACAGCTTTGTATACAGTTAATATCATGAATGTTGGACATTTTAGAGGCATTCAGGGCTTCTGGCCAGAAGCGCAAACAAGATCAAGGTTGTGACCACAGACATGGGTGGGAAAATTCACCTACTGAGAGAGGTCAAAGCAGTCCAGGGTGGATAAAAAAAATCTGAAGCAAATTTACAGTTTAAGGAGTCAACATGAACGTTAAAGTCGCCAAGCTGAGACTGGACAGGTCATAGTGTTTAGTGCTGTCAGTGGTTCAGATAGTTCAGAGAGAAAGACTGGGCAGGACTTAGGAGGACGATAAACAAGTAGAATCAACAATGGAGTGGGGCCGCAGAGTTCAAGGGCAAGGTATTCAAAGGATGTGAGAGAGTAAATAGAGAGCTCCTTGATAATTACATCTTGCCTCTAAGCCACCACGACCACCAGGGTGTGGTTTGCCTACATAATTAAATCATGGCGGGACAGTTTGATTTACTAAAAGAAACTAATTTGGATTCTGCCAGGTCTCGGTTATGCACAGAATGTCAACGCATGTATCAGTGATGAAATCATTTAGCGTTTCAGTCTTTCGATTTAGAGAGCGGGTGTTTACAAGTGCAAATTTGATGTCCCGTTGATTTACCGGAGTGAAGGAGGATTCCGAAGATGTAACAGCCATAGGTACTGGTGTTTATTCCGGGATGAAAGGGCAGCTTGTCATTTCTGTGGTTACGACAATCCAACCACATGCTATCTATGCGAGTAGCATGAAGTGAAGCTAGTGACATTGAACAACGCGCATGATCCGCAAGTGTTTAATAGCCGAATTTCTATCAAAGTAAAAGACCATCATCCACTACAGTAATGCATGAAGAGAGTATAGCAACATTATGCGAAATTACAAGAAACTAAAGCACCTCCTTTGGTTTCTTATTTCTTCATGGTAACTTGTAATTGCTTGAACATTCTGCTGTATTTTTTATTGGCATTTTTTTAATTGTAGATCACCACTCATTTTTATTAAATATTTATTTATATTTATATGTATATTTATTTCCCATTCAATTAAAAGCATTTTGAGATGGAAGCTTTTAAGGGGGCCGTATCAAATATTTGTTTATTGTAATTAAAAACAAATCATTTTTTGATTTGTACAAAAGTGGCATATGACATACTGTTGAGACACTAAGTCAATAGCAAATCACTTTTCTTCATTCACTTTTAAATCTTTACTTATATTGTTGATCTGTGTGGATCACCTCTAGAAAAACTGCAGTGGAGAATTGGACGAGGAAAGGTCTAACTCCCAACCCAACCAAAATTTGTGCCTCTCCGAAAGTAGCTGAAATCTATCATACAGACGCACAGCTCATAGTAAATAACCATGATTTGGTCAGATTTGGTCAGTGTATTTGCCAATGTTAGTGGGGTTTATAGAACACTTCTTTGGAGTAGGACAATGCAGTGCTGAACGGTCTCACAGTCTCACTCCTGACTAAACAATTTGTGCATCTCCAAAAGTAAATCTATCATACAGACCCACAGCTAATAGAAAATCACCATGGTTTTGTCAGATAAGTGTCTTTGTCAATTTTGCTGGGGTTTAAAGACCATCCACTGAGTAAGCGTATGATGTACTCCCATATCCTAAGGCTTCCCTACCAACCTGTTTGCCTGAACAGTGTTAAATGCCGAAAAAAAAGTATGCATACAGTACATAGGCTGATGGAGTTTTAAGTGCTTGTATACTGCACTATACTGCATTTAATTGTTCTAAGTAGCAAAATAAGGTTGCATTGGGAACTTACAATAGTCATATGCGCAAATCATGAGCTTGAGGGTTCCCTTTCCAAGATCTTGCATTGTGCCCCTAAAAAGGTAGAGGGCTGGCCCTGTCTGCAGTCTTCCATAACTCACTCTCTTATAAATGAGCTAATTATTGTATTAATTGAGATGTACCCTGCAGGCATTCTGGCCAGGCAGCACATTTCCACAGTGCTTAGCTTTCCTGCCTCGTTGTGCTGCTACCATTGGATCAATGTGCACCGGTTTCCTCCCACAGTCCAAAGACATACTGTAGGTTAATAGACTTCTGGGGAGAATTGCCCTGGAGTGAGTATGTGTCCGTCTGCCCTGGGATGGACTGGTGTCCTGTCCGGGGTGTATTGTGTCTTGAGTCTGTTGGGAGAGCCTCCACTTCCCCTGTGATCTTGTACAGATAAAGCAATTGAAAAAAGGATGAAGGATGGTCACAGTGGCCCTTCAGGACCTGGACTGGACAGCCCTGGTCAAGTGGTTGAAGATGAGGTCCATTATATTCAAGCCCTGCCGCCTGCAGCCTCTGCCATCTTCATTGCTGTGTCTCCAGTAACTTCTCTCTGGCCATCAGACTGTGCAGCAGAGCGTTTCCCTCTACAGCTACAGGGAGAAGACACAAGCTTCAGATACAGTCAGCTCCTAATGTCTCACTGCAACCCCATTGAGACACAACCAAGGCTGATAAACCCTGATTCTCTCCATCCCTGAGCAAACACAGGAGCACTGACACCCAGAGAGCTGAGGATGGGAGTCCCAGACACACCGACACAGGTTTAGACTATCTTGACAGACCTCAGTGCAAAGCTGATATAACCTGCTCAGAAATATCAGCAGCCAATGACAATGTGCCGAACTTTTTGAGAAGATATAAGCAAATACCGAACATGTCTACCTGATGGCCATGGTCATGACCATGGTATTGACCTTTTTACAGATTGTAACAAAAGAGGTCGGTTGGGTGACCATAATGTGGGTTATTTTCATACACTGGACTCCCTTGTCTCACTTACAATTGAATTTAGCTTTGTATATGGTGATTAATAACATTTTCACTTCATTCTTGCTTTAAGCGTTCTCCTTCTTCAGCATAGAATTTAATCACAAAACAATGTTGTAGCTCATTCACACCAACTGAATGAGCTCCAATACTTATACTGGTCATGGTATATACTGAACCATGTCTGAGCATCATGGTGACACTCAAAGCTTGCAGTTGGCTGACAAATTACTGGATGTGAAGTCGGCTAAGATTTCTCAATATTCTAGCTGAGCAGATTCATATTTCCTCTCCCTTATAACATGGTAAGATGCAATGATACTTCAGTATCTTACATCCTCATAACTGATGCCAGAACAGATGAACCTTCTATCCAAAAATAATTGACAATCTACATTTGGAAGATGCCATTCAGGACTGAATTGCTTCGGCTTTATAGATGGACACCCAGTCTGAGTACTTCACATGGATGGCTTAGATCTGCAACAGTGATGTTCAGATGACCTGTTCAGTCTTGTGATGATTTCCACAGCGATGACAATGGAGGTCAGAATGAAGACACAGGGCAACCCAATGGACAGTCTGAAGACACTTCTGCATCTGTCCAAGTCCACTGTGGACAATTGACATCAGATCAGTGCTGCACTTTATACACAGTCAGAATTAAGGTAATGGTAGAAAAAAAAATTGTGTTTTGCTAATCCACCACTGCTTACAGTTTTCCCCAAAGTCACACCACAGTCATTTTAATGGATGGTTCATGTATTCATGTGCTTCACGCATTCATATGCTTTATAAATAAAATACAAGCTCTAAAAACAATTGGAGAGTAATGTTAAACACAGCAAGAGACAAGATGATATCACTTTCTGTGTGGAGTTTGCATGCAACGCCTGTTTGTGCGGCTGTTCTGGTTTCTTCTAACCTAACAAAGACATGACGACCCAGTCCTGTCCCTCTATTCTCAGATCTCCTTCAGCTGACCAAACACTGAGGGATATGCTTTCTCTTATTCATGCATCAGTGTACTGCATAAGAAAATGTGATCAATTATTACAGCCATACAAAAAGACTTGACAATGCTAACTTTAAACCATTTAAATTAATCAGTTTTGAAATGGCAAGGAAACTCTGCTAAGGCATGTTATGACTGGAGCACACTGGAGATAAGCAAAACAATGTGGAAATACTCAGAGGATGAGCACCAGGAACCCCGGTCTGTGATATTACGGTATATCTGTCCTATGATGTATTCTGCAGACACTCATGTTCAGTTTGGTCCTTTCCAAAGACCGTTCTTATTGTCAATTTGGAAACCCAGAGAAGCTTTCATGACCTTTCTATACCATGTCTTTGTGTTCTGGGTTGAATGAGCAGACACTTGAAATGGGATTTACAGAAACCAGGACAAGGGAAAAAATAATTTATATTGAAAGTTAAACAGAATTGAGACCCCCAGAGGAAAACTTTGTATAAAGTTAAATCAAGCTAAAAATACATTAAAGTGACACTTAGCTGCATTTGTGTGAAATTGTGCTGGGAGCTTCTGAATGCACATGAAGCTTTTCTCTAAAGAAAAGGTTGTTAAAATTGAATTTTTGAGCATGCAGTGTAATGTGAATTGTAGTATTTTTGCCCATCATGAGACTGAGTTCAAATTATTTTTTAAAGCTAAAATCATGCACTTTGTTTGAATAAGCAGTATGCTGTCATTTCTATGAAGTGTAACGCAACAGGGGCTCAGGCAGGCGCCCTTGCCACATTAGGTTGGCCCCCACTGTCAGGGGCTCGAACCCAGGACTCCTGCATCTCTCTGCAGCAACCCAGCCCAGTGAGCCAAAGAGAGATCCCTTTACAGCCCAGTAGCTGTAGTCCTGCTATCACAGGGAAGGGCGGTGATGTCACCTGCTCTGGTATGCCGGCTCTTACACAGTGCCTGTCGGCCATAAGCGTTACAGAAGAAAACAGGACACTAAAGACTCTTTTCTGAGTATTTGTAGAGTAACTGAACTGCTTCAAAATAGTCAAATTTCAAAGTTTTTATTTATGCTGGAAATACATCACTCTCATGAGAGTATTACTCTCTGGATAAGTTTTGTGTGACAGAGCTTTAGCTCAGATATAAGCCGGCCAGTGTCATGAGGTTCCAGAACTAGGGAAATGGGAAATGGAAAAACCCAGTTGAAAATTGTACCCTTGTGGTCTTGCATCAGCGTGGCTGTTTGGTCCGGTAGTGACCTGCTAAGGGACTCGTTTCCATCTCCTTAAAAATGATTAAAAACCAAGACTGAGCTCTTCTCGTTTGTGCGATTAACTCATTAACTCTAAAACAAAAAACATAATTGAACAGTAAACAAAATTATCTTCAACATGATTTGGACAATAGATTCCAGTATCCGATTACATACCCCAGACTTTAAAGCAGAGAGCAGTGGGAAATGATCAGATGTGTCAGACAGACCTGTGGTGCTGCTGGCTGTGTCCTGGCTGGAGCTGGCTGTCAGCGCTGTGGCAGTGACCTCCTCTGTCACACTCCCTGGAGCTGAGGGGGTCACTGTGGGGACTGTAGGAGCTGAGGAGACAGACAGAGGCATCAGAGTGGGAGTCAAGACCACGGTTTCCCAGTCTTGGTCCTGGAGGCCCAGATACCTTGAATAAGATTAATTACTTAATTGAAGCCTTGATTGAACTAACAAGTTACTTGATTAAAATATTTGCAAGTTCTTTTGAACTAAAAAGATTTGTTACTTGTTAAATGTTACCTTTTAACTTTTGTCTTTCACATTTTGAAGGGCGGAAAACCGTTCAAATGAATCCTACATTCAGGTCAGTTGAAAGTTCAATTGTGTAACGGAGCTTTAGCTGGAGTAAAACACAGCTGATAGGTACAGGTAGGTGAGCATGAGAGCCTGAGTGCTCTAGAGATGAGAGCAGAGGTCCCATTGCTCCTGAACTCCCAATCGGCATAATGCTTCAGTTCCATAATTAATTGTACGTGCTTATGGCTCCATTCCAGAGCTCCTTAAGCAGAAGCATGCAGGGATATTTTAGTTTTGTACTTTTAATAGTAATAATTCTTTACATTTATATATAGCATCTTTCTGGACACTCAGTAAAGTGCTTTACAAGTAATGGGGGCTCTCCTCCACCACCACCAGTGTGCAGCCTCACCTGGATGATGCAACAGCAGTCAGTGCACCAGTACGCTCACCACACACCAGCTATTGGGCCCCACTAACACCTCTTCCAGCATCAACCTCAGATCCCCCAGGAGGTATCCCATCCAGGTACCAGCCAGGCTTACATCTGCTCAGTTTCAGTGGGTTGACAGGTGCAAATTGCAAAGTTTTCTCACTGTTTGTGCTGATGTTTAAATCCTCCCTCAGTCATCAGTGTTCAGTCTTATGAAGTCTAACGTGTTATACTGTGATGCACTCCGGGTCCTTCACTTTTAGATCAGTGACCAACTAGCAACCAAATGTGCGAGATAAGCCAAAAGGCCTCCTCTCATTGGGAACCTTTATTTAGATCTTGATTGAAGCACTTTTGTGAAAAATGTAAGTGCTTAAATCTTCTCTTATGACTGTGGTCTCCAGCTAAGCCTTCTTCACTAAGCATCCAGAGTATGGTAATAACCCTATAGTGTGTTTATTACACAACATAGGATGGAATTAAGGAGCCTTATATTAACAAGAAAAATCAAAGCAGAAGGTACTTGATTTTCTTCTGCAGACAGAGTGCAGCATAAACAGTTAGTCAATAGATGTTAAGTGAAATACAACAACTGCTGTTGCAAACAGAGAAAGCAAAAGAGTCTGCACATGATGACTTGCCTTTCCTGACTCTCAGATGTATTTTTGAGAGTCTGTCAGTCCCCCTTTGCTCCAGTCCACAGTAATACACCCCAGTGTCCTGCAGGGTCAGTCTGCTCATGGTCACAGTGAAGGTCCTGATTGAGACGTTGTCATAGAGAGAGAATCTCCCCACAGTGACCACAGTGTCCGTCTTGCCGGTTTTGATGAGAAGATCCTTATTCCCACAGGGATGCCGACACCAGTACTTCTTCTTGTACTGATACGCATCTGGATAGTTGCACTGAATCTCTACACTTTCTCCTTCAGATCCATTCACTCTCCTCTCTGCTGACGTCACACACCCTAGACCTTGACAAGGAAAAAATAATCAGTCAGGTCCTCTTACCACAAAAGAACACATTCATTTTGATCAATGCAAAAAGCAATACAGTACCTGTCATCTGTGCCTTTTCCTCATAAGAACATAAAATACATCCATCGCAATTCCAAATATTGAACAACTTTGAAAGCAAATACTGAGATTCAAAATCTTGAATAACTTTTTCAAAGACTGGATTTCTAAATATATCCAGAGCTCAGAACAGAAATGTGGGACAGTATACCATTTTCATATGGTTTTTAAGAAAGGTTGCAAAAGGCAGGTTAAAAATCTCTTAAAATCTATTTCAACAACTTTTTTTTTTTTAAAGACGCATCTCTTGTTCTCCGTCACAGCCTGTATGGAATGATCTCTCTGTCTAGTCCATCTTGGGGAACCTTGATGTTAACCAAGCCCAGCATTTCCAAAATTAAGGATTCTTGTTTTAAATTGTTGCACATACAGTAAGTTCATTGATGTAGTCAGGTAGATATGTCACTGACTTTTTATAACTTAAGTTTTAGATATAGAAATTACCCAAGTTGATTTTCTTTTTAACCTGTCATAATCCATTTATAAGAAGTACCCACTAAGAGATAATGAAGAGGTAGGTACTGTAGCTCTTGTGTGGTGCAGTGTTTCTTACATGTTGGAAGAGCTATACATTATTACTGAACAAGCAAGCACTATTGCTTATTGCCGTCAGAAATTTGTTTTGAAGTCTGTTTCAGGCCAACAGTAGCTTAACTCTTTCTTCATTGGTTCTATATTTTTCTTATGTGCAAGTCTTTATTGGACAGTTGAGTCATAACATTTGTCTACCAATACAACAGAGCAATGAGACTCACCTATGAAGAGAGTGAGTACGTAAAGAGAGGATTTCATGTTCAGCTGTCCAGCAGAAACTCTTCAGCTCTGCTGTCGAAGTAGAGCTTCCTTTCAGTTCCGACTAGGAAATGACCTCATTCTTCTTTAATAGAAGAGACACTGACGTGTCTCACGTGGTCTCACTCACAGAAGCTGGCCAAGGAGCTCGCAGCCAGAGCTAGTGAACAGGCAGACAGTTGTGCACACAGGCACTGCTTCTCCATATTCTGTTTCCAATGTCATGTAGTTTACAAATTGCTACCAATAAGCACATGGTATCTTTGTAACTCATTAAAATTAGTGTTCTTTTAACGGTGTGTAGTTATATTAGTCCTCATATCTATTCTTTAATATCCAATTACTAAAATTATTTTAAGAACAAAAAGTTTCTTAAAACCAAGACCATATACTTCTCACTAGAACTGCACCATCTAACCAAAACTAAGAAAAATAAATACGTATGCAGCCTTTAGACCAAGACAAATTCTTCATTTTCCCTCTTGTGACATACCTAAGGGGGTGTCATAACAGGATCTTTAAAAGAAGACAGGTGCAGGTCAACAGATACACCAAACATACAGCTGTAAAGTAGAAAACACCAGTGTAGTTTATTTCTACACTGCAAGGATCTAAAACTACAAACCACACACCAAAACAAAAAGCCTATGCTTCTCTCAGAGATACTAACTAAGCTTCTTCCTGAAGTCCCTCATTAAAGTGGCCAAGCAGCTCAACTGCTTACCAGCTTCCAAAACCTCTTCCAGTCTCTTCAAAAGAAAACAGTCTCTTAAGATTCTTCACAAAGGTTCCAAAAACTCAGTTCCTTTGTCTTGAGTCACAGGTCAGTTTACCTTCTGCTGAGTGGTGACCACAGAGACTCTGCACTCAACCCCTCAGACAGCAGCCATCCAGTCACACACACCAACACTGGAAGCTTAGTCTTCAAGCTCTTTTAAAGAGTCACCTGACCAATTGGCTTCCTGTAACTGGTCAGGTGACTGAGCAGCAGCTCATTCCCCCAGAGGAATCTGGGGACACTCTTCCCTACCAAGGCTGTGCTCCCAAACCCTCCGTTCATTGAAAAGTGGAAACAGCGATGCATGTCCTGGGACTGGGGATCTGATCTCAATTTCCCTTCTGGATCAATAAGGTCTTATCTTATCTCTCTCATCTCTTGGTGTAATATCGCTGCACAAACAGCCCTTGTACCTATTTGACATCATTTACAGCCGTCACTCCTGCCACTGGCTCAGCGCACTCAGCCCTGTTACACACACATATAAAAAGCACAAGTTACCACCACACTAGGGGGCGCAGGCCTTTCAGCCTTCCACCATATTGTACTGTATAATACGACAATAAGTACAATGCTGTAGAGATGTACTGTTACTTTGGCTGGGATGGTGCTTTTACTGCTGCTGTGGCGTTTCTGTGACAAGTCTTAGAGAAGGATGCCAGTGAGGCAGTTGTGTTCCTATCCGAGTTTTTCTTTCTTGATTTTGACATTCAACAAGTTAAATTGCCTCATCACTCAGACCCAATTGACTCTTTTAAAAGGTCATTTAGTATTTATACAACAAAGCCACTTGAGTGCATCACGGTGAAGGAGATAGGGCTTTTAAATATATCTGTAACTATCAGAAATTGCAGTATATTGCGAGAGTACATGACAACTTTTAGTATGCAATCAAACATAATAATCCATAGTCTCACACACAGATCCTAAATACACAACATACAATTTATTGAAAAGAAAACATGCATAACAAGCAACAAATGTAATAGAATATATTTGTGGAAATGATCTACTGTGATATGAATGGCTGATCGATCACTCAGGGAATACTAAGATCCGAATTAATAATTGCAGGGTTAAAATGTGCATCAGCTATAACATTACAGTCTAGCACAGACAGTAACGTTACAGTCTACAGTCAGGAAGAATGTCTTGGGCCGAATTAAATTTCTGTAATATCATACAAAAAGCACAAGCCTGCTTGGGGAAGGCACACAAAGATTACTAGAAATCTTTAATAACACTGAATTCTGAGTGAAATAACAGGCTTTGTCATAGATGATCAATTAATCAAAATGACACAAAAAGACACTCAAAAATCAATATCTTACATAAGACTACTTTATTTTTACATAGAATCTTGCACAAAGAGATACATTTTTGGACAAGGGCAAGTGTGTCTGCAGTCTTCCATTCTAATGCAGCTCTTAGTAGTGTAAATGAGCTTATTATTGGCTTAAAAAACCCCACAAACCCTGCAGGGACTCTGGGTGGGTGGCACATTTCCACAGTGCTTAGCTTTGCTGCCTTGTTCTGTTGAGGTTGGGCAGCAGAATGATTCAGTGGTTAGCAGTGCTGCTTCAAAATACACAATACTAGGGCCCTGTGGTTTCCTCCCACAGTTCAAAGGCTTACGGGAAGGTTAATTGACTTCAGGGACAATTGGCCCTGGTGTGAGTGTGTCTGCCCTGTGATGGACTTGTGCACTGTCCAGGGTGTATCCTACCTTGTGCTCGTTGCTTGCTGGGAGTAGCTCCAGCCAATTAGTTATAGATTTGTTTCTTATGCACAAGTCTTTATTGAACAATTAAGTTATTTGTCTACTGATGCAACAGAGCAATGAGACTCCCCTGAGAAGAGAATGAGGATTTCATGTTCAACTGCTCAGCATCAGAGTCTCCTTAAGCCTGGTGGGTCAGAGAAGAGTTTCCTTTCAGTTCAGACTAGGAAATGACCTTTTAATAGACTTCACACTATCAGACACTCTCACAGTGTCTCACCCAGAGCAGCTGCCAAAGGAGCTCAACCAGCTCCATGCAGTGAGCAATGAAAACAAAGGTAGATTTTGCACCAGAAACCACCAGTTTCAAAGTTGGGGGGAGCATTTCAATGCATATTATGTATAATGAATGTAAAAAAACATAATTGAACAGTAAACAAAATTATCTTCAACATGATTTGGACAATAGATTCCAGTATCTGATTACATACCCCAGACTTTAAAGCAGAGAGCAGTGGGAAATGATCAGATGTGTCAGACTGTACTGTACTTACTGTACTGTTGACTCCTAGTGAAGAGAGCTCAGCTGGAGACCACAGTCACAGGACAAGATTTAAGCACTTTTCCAAGTTTTCACAAATGTGCTTCAATGTCTTTTGCTTTCAGGAGTTAACACTGCATTAGAAAAGTCAAGATGATTTTACAGTTTACAACTGATCTGAAAGCACATAAACGGGCACACTGCAAATGAACTCAAGGTCTAATTAAAGGTTATGAATAGGTGGGGAGGCCTTTCGGCTTATCTTGCTCATTTCCTCGCTAGTGGGTCATTAATCCGAAACTGCAGGACACACACGACAGTGCCTGGCCTTCCAGGAAATCCCCATGTTGTTGAATTACAAATGAGGTATGCATGTTTAAGTAAATATTTTAATAAGAACTTGAATGTATCAGAATGAAAGGATGATCGAATTTAAATATCAGCACAAACTGCAAAGAACAGACCAAAATATCCCAGGTTCCCAGTCCTGGTTATATAGGCCACCCATCCCCTTGAAAGCTCTGTTACACAATTGAACCCTTAATTGATTTAATTAAACGCTTACTTTGAGCTGATTTCAACTCTCAGACATGGTGATGATTACCTTTTAACTGTTGTATTTCACCAGTAACAAAAGTCTAAGCTTCTCAGTTAGCAAAAAAAAATCTTGCAAATGTTCCAAACATGCAGCTTTAGATAATTGAAGGCTTGAATGAACTAAATATTGTTGGGGATGGGGAATCGCTGGTCTGGACTCCCACTCTGATGCCTCCGTCTGTCTCCTCAGCTCCTACAGTCCCCACAGTGACCCCCTCAGCTCCAGGGACTGTGACAGAGGAGGTCACTGCCACAGCGCTGACAGCCAGCAGCACCACAGGTCTGTCTGACACATCTGACTATTTCCTGTTCCTCTTTGCTTTAAATTCTTGAGTTTAGGCAAACTTAATCAGATATTGGAATCTAATTAATGTCCAAAACATGTTGAATAAATTTTGTTTGCTGCTCAATTTTTTTTCCAGAAGACAACGCTTTCATGAAACCCACTTTTTACAGTTTTTCAGAATCATTTACATTATTATCTGAAATTGTACTCAAAACTATAAACGCAAAAGGCAAAACCCACACGCAGCTGGGCAAATCAGAGAAGTCTCACACAAAATGAATATTTTTTTGTATTTTATACAAAAGGCAAACACACCCCATCAAATAAATAGACCCTACAGAGTACTTACTAAACTAGTGAAATCAATTGTAGAGGTAGCAGTATACTACTGTAATGTGTAAACCATATTATATACAAAACACACAGAAACAGATGACATTCACAAACAAAAAAAGGCAGCACAAGCTGCACCAGTTCTGTACAGTACACAACACTACTTGTATGGCAATCTTTACTGTAAGAATTATACAGAAACAAACAAAAAGAAAGTTTATACTGCCCCAACCTCCTGCTTCTGACCTGGGTTAGGCCAGAGGTTTTTGTTAACTTGTCAGGCAGTAGGTGAAGTGAGTCCTGATATGGCTCATCCAGGCCTGGTCATTCTCATCCAGCGCTGGCAGGACTCTTCAGTCATGTCCTCACAAGCCACATGGCCTGTAAAAGATATACATGCTCGTAGGGATTTCAGTCATATACCTTCCACCTCCATGCCAAGAAAATTCCTGTATGGGCTTTAATAATGGGGAATATGGGGGAAAACTGTGGGTTATCAAGAAACCAGTTGCGGACTAGAACAGCTCAGTTGAGGCTGACATTGATTACAATGTACACGAGCTGCTCTGGCTTACCTGGCTGTTGGAGTAGAGTGTTCCAGAGCTTATGCAGAAAAGGGATTAGATGGGCAGTGTTGTAGGGGGCTGGGGTGGCATGACAGTGGAGCCCCCCATGTGGACTGACTGCTGCACACAGTGGGCTGTTTCCCGTGCGCTGGCCAGGAACCTGCACAAAGGCCTGCTGGCCAATGATATTTCTTATGCCTCTCCTCTGCTTTATCAGGATGAACCCAGCCTCATCATTGGAGATGAATTTTCCAAGGGTTTCACTTGCATCAAGTTCAAATAGTCTCTAAAAATACAATTTAGGTATCAGATTGATTGATTACTGTGCTTTACAGTATACAGTATATCACAGACTGCTGAAAATTGTACAGTAATGTTATAGTATAAAATAAGTTGCACAGATCTCAATGAACAATTAAGGATTTCTGTGTTTTCATATGCAGGATTGAGTGCTGTTGATTGATGATCAAAGATCATTGTTTTGAATGACAGTGCTTTCCACATGGTTTCTTTGATGACAGTTGTGCTCAATGAGAGGACATGCACTCAGTGTTTTGCAAAAAGGTCCTAAAATGTAATTTGTGTATAAAACAAGTGAACTGCGCTGAGAATTTTCTTGGAAAAGTATTTCTTTTGAGACGTGTACTTTCAGTTTTGTCAGCTTGGTTTCAGTTTGTAAATGATTGTACAAAACATGTTAAAAGGTCACACCAAACTTATTTCTCATCATTTTTAAGGCAAAGGAAACGAGTCCCTTAGTACATCACCACCAGACCACACAACCAGCCTGAAAGATGACCACAAAGGTGAGTTTTTAGTTTAGTTTTATTCCCATTAAGTTCTGACAAACAGAGACATGTTTTATTTTGTATACAATAAGAAGTACTGGGGGCACGGAAGTGGCTAGAATTCCAGCCTTGCTTGGCTGGGGCCCTGGGTTCAATTCCTGGGGTGCTGTCTGTGTGGAGTTTGCATGTTCTCCCTGTGTTCATGGGTGTTTCCTCCAGGTGCTCCAGCTTCTTCCCACAGTCTAAAGACATGTTGGTAGTTAAATGGCTTCTGGGAAATTTGGCCCTGGTGTGAGTGTGTGCATGTTTGTGTCTGTGTGTGTCCTATGATGGACTGGTGTCGCATCTGTGTGTGTCCTATGATGGACTGGTGTCCCATCCAGGGTGTGTCCTTCCTTTTGCCCGTTGGGACAGGATTAGGCTTCCCTGCGACACTGAGTTGGATAAAACAATGAATGTATGGAATAGTCTTGCACTGCTTTGACACATCACAAAAAGATAATGACTCTTGATTTGATTCCCTAATATATGTATTAAACTATTAAACCATCGTATCATCCTGACAATAATACAACTTTAATAATACTTTCCTACCTGAAACAAATTGGAATGATTATCATGCTGAGGGCTGGTTGTTTCTGCAGTCATTTTCAAACTGGAAACTGAGTATCAATTCAGTTAAACTCCCACTGTCTGTGCCTTCCCCCTTCTTTCAATAAACAAAAAATATCCAAGTAGAGTCCTTCTTTTATTGGGTAAGACTTCAACCTCTTGTGGAAGATAAGTCGGCCTCATCTTTTATTGCCGCACTACATTTATTTCTGTGTTTTTCTAAGAAAGAGATTTGGTGGTCAGAAACACACAAATATTGACACATACTAAAGCTGAGGGTTTATATGCCACATCTGAACAACAGGAAATGTAGTCCAGGTCAGCCCAGCCACTGTGGTGATATGTTTTTAACCGAGTGGCTTTTCAAATATGACATTTCTGCCTCTCTGCCTTTTTGCTTCCGTTTCTACCCATATCAATATGCCTTTGTTCTTATTCAGTATCTAGCTTGGCAACAAAGGTTGATAAAAATATAATTAATGAGCAATTTGTACTATTCTCCTCTTGAAAGGTAGGAGAAGGGAGAAGACAGCCTGAATGAGAGGAGACTAGCACTGGGAACAGTTACTTTTACAAAGCAACCCATTACAGTTACATGTTACTTGTGTAAGCGATTACGTTTTTAAATCAACAAGGGAGACCAGAATTGTAAAAGCACATCACTTACTGTGGAGTGCGTGTTACCATGTAAACCAAACCTTGAGCTTTTAAAAGCATCCATCACTCCAGACACACCCCTCACAGCCTGTTGGGAAACTTTGTCACTCTCTTTTTTTCTCCTTTACATGCACTCTCCTCCAAGAGTGATGATGAACATGGCCCCCTCGTTAGAGTGACAGGGACAGGTGGCGTGCACATTTGGGGATCATCTACAGCACTGTCCTACTGTATATGATCTCCTCCAAGATCATTCCTTAGGTCCCTCGCAGCACAGAGCCCACGCTCGACACCTTCTCCCACAACTCTTGCCCTGTGGGAGTAGCAGAGGAAAGCCCTCGACTGGTTCGATCCACTTTAGCTGGACCTGCTCTACTGCCTTCGCCTTAACAGCAGGTTGACATGGCAATGACCAGGGCTGCTTCTTTTCCCGACCTTCCCTGCAGATCAATGACACTGTCACTCTACAATGACCACTGCTTTCCACCCTGCACCAGTCAAGCCCCAGACGTGAAGTTCCACCTCCAGCTCTCCCTGATGTCTCACACCCTCGTTACACAGCTGAGCCTCCACCGCCTCACATTCACACTCAGACTCCAATACACTCTCACCTTAAACCCACACAGCCTCTCTCGTGTTCTGGCTTAGCGCTCACAGCTTCCGGAAAGCCCGGAAAGCTTCCCGGAAAGGTACAGCGTACCTTTTCTGCTCTCTCACTAGGAGCTGCCAACTCCTTCACTAGCACAACCGCCAGGCGAGCTCTTTCCTTAACTCAACGCTTCAACATTTCTGTGGGTGAGGGCTCCTCTACTGCGCCCTGCTCTCTGGCAACCTCACTAACAATTGACACTGCGCTATTGCCCACACTAATCTCACAGAAACTCTAACTCCCACTGGGCAGCCCTGGTCTCACTCAAAATAGGCCTCCAGCCCTTTCACTCTCCCCTCTCTCATTTGCACAGTCACCTCTGGAGCTTCTGGGATTCCTGCACTGTTCCTAACACAGTTTTTCCCATAACTCCACAGTCATTCACATAGCTCTCTCCCCTTATCGGGGTTTTTTACAGCTGTAGCCATTAGTCTGCTCTCTCTGTCTCTCCCTCACGCTAGCAGTGTCTCAGAGTCATTGCTAACTGTACTTCAGCCCAGCCCTCTCACCACTGGGGCTCAGGAAATTGGAGAGATCCCATCTGTTCTTGTCAGCTGCTAGCGCAGGAGTGAGGTCCTATCTTGGTCACCTCTCTGGAAGTAGCCCGCTTATTCTTGAAGGCTGAGTCTCAGTCAGGTAAATAGAGTTTACACATGCCAGCAATCATATTTTTGCAAACCATGCGATTTATAAGCACAGTGTGTGTTTTTCAGTAGACACCCACATCATGACTGGGGCAGTCCTTGCAGTGATAGTCTGTGTGTTCCTGGTGGCAGCTGTCATTCTCTTCACACAGAGGAGAGCCATACGCTTCCTGGGTAAGTCTGCTCCAGCTGGCCCATCAGTGAAGCTCAGCAGAGCACTGCTGCCCAGGGCCGGGCTGTGCTGGACAGAGCTGCAGCAGAGCTGCTCTCTCCAGACTCAGTAGCCTGTGACTGACCCTTCCTCTGTGACTGTGAGCTGCTGCAGTGAAGCTGTTACTGGACTGACAGGACACCTGCTGATGCTGATGACTGGATCGGGTGTGTTGAAACACAGGCTGCAGTGGAGAGGGCCAGTCACGCTACAACATGGGCAGGGTTGGGGACATTCTTATATTACGATTTGTACTAAAGAATTGAAAATTACCATCCATTCATCTGTTGCAATTTACAAATCCAGTTCGAGATTTGATTAGATAATTATGTGATAATATGTTAATGATCAGCCTTCTGTCCACTGGGACACTAATTAAATGCAGACCTGCCATTACAGTATATTTTGACTTAAATGCATTTCCTAATTATCCAGATGTGTCCCTGTGATTATTTGATTAACTTTGCCAGTATCTGTCAGCATTTTGCATCACATTCCCTTGTGAGTAAAGAGTTTGAGTTCCTTTAGATCAAGACATACATATATACATTATATATTTCAGCATAACTGCCCCTTAAGCAGTTAAATCAGTTTAACAAACACACTGTTATTTCCGTAAATGCTGAAGTAGTTTCTCAAGAGGATATTTGCAATGGGCACTCTACAGAACTTTGTGGTAAGCCACATGCCTCACAGTCCTGAAAGGCAACAGCGCTGCCAATATCCTATCGATGTGCAATCTGGTGCGTCTGCAGAAACCTTAATCCTCACTGATGCTTGTTCACAAGAGTCTCAGAGAGTCTGGGTGAGAGGAGGAATTTTACAGACACAAAATAAAATGTCAAAAATGGCTACAGGCTGTGGTGTGGACAGTCTATCACTCCGCTCACAAAACTTTCCCCTGCTGTTTATTACAGAGTTGAAAAATAGGGTCTGGTTTGATATTCATATGACTTTTCGAGAGTCAACACCCATCATATTAGTTCCAAGCATAACTGTTGCACTTACAGAAGAACTTAACAGGGTATGCCAACTCTGGTTAGATGTTTAGAATCCACAGTGATTGTCAGCCAGAGTAAAAGTGTTGCTGTCTGCTGTTGAATAAATGTTCTGTCGGTCCCGGTCATCTGTGGATCACAGACATAGCCCAGCTGCATGTACTAATGCAAAACAGCTCTAGTAATTCAGCCTCTTGTGTATTTTTTTTATTGAATCTGCAGTAGAAGCATTTATATCCCAGCCGCAAATTCATTTCTTGAAACCAAGCTACATTATTTAAAACTTTGCTTTTGAACATTAACTACCAACTTTGTTTTGCACTAGATTAGAAACCCACTGTTGGGAACGGACCTACAGGCACAGAACAGGTAAACTGAATCTCCTCTCCATATGTCTTAAACAGCGCTGGGCACGTATTGCCTTATAGCCTGATGTGACAGGGCAGCGCCCCTGCTTTCCCTCGAGCTGAGTGGCTACATCCTGCGCACAGCTCATTCTGGAGTGAGCGGTTGTAAAAACAGGAAGAGATGCCTCTGTTTCTATGGAAACTGCCATAATGTTGTCAACACTGTTGGTAGTGTTGATCAAAAGATAGAAATAATCCCTTAAA